CTCTGGCGATGGGCTTCCAATGGTCCAATGGTGTGTGTGTGTGTGTGTGTGTGTGTGTGTGTGTGTGTGTGTGTGTGTGTGTGTGTGTATGTTTAGGGGGTGGGCAAGATCTTGGCTCATACAGAAGTAAAAAATCAACAATTCTAATTCATGGCGAAAGCAGCGGTGCTATAAATAGATCTCGTACTTGACCGCAGGTCTATCTCCACCTGATCAAATCTTTCCTTGCCAACTTGGCAAGGGATGGCTGACCTCCACACTGCATTACGTTCTACCAAACCGTCCAATGACTAGCTGGAGCTCAAGTTGCTATGGTTTCTGCTGTGGAATCGCTATCATCGCCTCCGGCGATGGGCGTCAAATGGTCAACAAAATGGTGTGTGTGTGTGTGTGTGTGTGTGTGTTTGTGGCTGTGTGTGTGTGTGGGGGGGGGGGTTGAGGGCGTGGTTGTGTGGGAGGCTGGGCGCTCAACTGTGGGAGCCTGTGTGTTCATGTGTGGGTGTGTTTTTGTATGTTCTTGTGTCTGATTTGTGTGTGTTTGTGTGCATCTGTTGGTGTGCGTGTGCGTACATCGTGTGTGTGTGTGCGTGCGTGTTTGTGAGTGTTTACATGTATGTGTATGTGTTCATGTGCATGTGTGTGTATGTGTATGTGTATGTGTATGTGTATGTTTGTGTGTATGTGTGTGTATGTGTGTGTATGTGTGTATGTGTATGTGTGTGTATGCATGTATATGTACATGTACATGCATAATGTCTGTTACATCACTGTTCAGATTGTGCAAGACTGCTTTCTCCCAGCACTCCATGTACATCACTGTTCAGATTGTGCAAGACTGCTCTCTCCCAGCACTCCATGTACATCACTGTTCAGATTGTGCAAGACTGCTTTCTCCCAGCACTCCATGTACATCACTGTTCAGATTGTGCAAGACTGCTCTCTCCCAGCACTCCATGTACATCACTGTTCAGATTGTGCAAGACTGCTTTCTCCCAGCACTCCATGTACATCACTGTTCAGATTGTGCAAGACTGCTTTCTCCCAGTACTCCATGTACATCACTGTTCAGATTGTGCAAGACTGCTCTCTCCCAGCACTCCATGTACATCACTGTTCAGATTGTGCAAGACTGCTCTCTCCCAGCACTCCATGTACATCACTGTTCAGATTGTGCAAGACTGCTCTCTCCCAGCACTCCATGTACATCACAACAGTCATACTCACACAGCGGACAGAACTCGTTGCCCGTATCCCGGTATGCTTGTTTGTGTCCTTCTTCCCCTGCCACTGCTCTGCCCTATGCAAAGTGTTCTTTTTCCTCATCTACACATGTATCATATTGTATTCTTGAGTTGCTTGCTCACCAGTTGTGGATATGCTCCATGTGTATTCTTTTGAAGGTGACCGTCCTTGAGAATATTTTCTCAAACAGCAGCTCCACCACCTCTGCGCCCACCCCCCCCCCCCCCTCCCCATCTTCCCTCCTCTCTCCCAATCCCACACGCGCACACGCGAGCATGTGCGCGCATACATAATTTGTTCTATTGTTTGCTGTCCTTGCCAAGACTGCTGGTATGTTTCCATCGACTATGTTTTTTTGCTAATACATGTACATGTGTGTGTGTGTACGCAGATTGTGTACATTGTATACATAAATGTTTACATAAATGCATGTACATGTATACATACATGTTCCTACTATCTAAAATTCAATTTGGTTTGCTCTAGAGTATCTTTCTTTTGTTCTTATTTCTTTCCAGCTACATCTCTACATAAATGTCCCTAGTCTTTAAAATTCATTTTGGCTTGCTCTAAGGCACCTCTCTATTTGCTGTGACAATTGCACAGTATTCTTTTCATTTTTCACTTGACTTTGTTCACATCTTTGCATGTGCGCACATACATAATTTGTTCTATTGTTTGCTGTGCTAGCCAAGACTGCTGGTATGTTTCCATCGACTGTGTTTTTTGAATATTTTCTCAAACAGCAACTCCCCCACCTCTGTCCCCACCCTCCTCTCTTCCAATCCCACACGCGAGCACGTGCGCGCATACATATCTTGTTATATTGTTTGCTGTGCTTGCCAAGACTGCTGGTATGTTTGCTAATAAATGTACATGCCTGTACATGTATACATAAATGTTCCTACTCGTGAAAATTCAATTTGGCTTACTCTAGAGCACCTTTCTTTTGTTCTTATTTTTTGCTGCTACATCTCTACATAAATGTCCCTAGTCTTTAAAAATCATTATGGCTTGCCCTAATGCACCTGTCTATTTGCTGTGACAATTGCACAGTATTCTTTTCATTTTTCACTTGACTTTGTTCACATTTTTGCTTCGGCTGAGACTTCTGTGGACCCTGTATTGAACTTGGCAGCTGAACTTCATCTCCTTTCCTTGTTTTTTTTAAATGCCTGAACAGATCATGACTTTTGTCACTTCTCCACTTTGCGTGCTTATTTCAGAAATTAATGTGATGGAAATCACATACATGTAATTCTAGGCTTGCATTGTTCATAGTCACTGACTCCAGTGTCTGCTCCAGGGCCGAGTCAGCCGGACGAAGGACCCGTTTGGTGGTGAGTACTCGGACCCGTTTGAAAAAAGAACACTGGGTCACCATGGTCACTTGTGACCTGATTGGGAGATGTCCATGTGCATGTTGAGTAGGTACATGTAATCGCCATAACTGGCATAAGTCACGCACCGTGTCTGTCCTGGAACAGAAAATGTGCGACTTATCGCGAGTGTGCGACTTACATCAGATTCTGTACCACGTCATGTAGATCTACACTGTCTACCTATTGGCAGCTAGCTGTATCCAGATCCACTGCTGCTAGATCAACAGAGCATGTTTATCCGCTAAAGACACTACTTAGTTCAGGATAAGATCTCGCTACAATCATGATTGTGTTGTTGCGAGGTCAAAATGCTACATGTAAAGTTGCAAGTCACGTGGTTTGGGTAGTCAATTCCCGACGCAGTAGCTAGTACACAATCTTCTAGGTTTCACTCCTAGTACAAGGGCGTCGGAACCGCACCGGCCGGGGCGGCCATGGCCGCCCCACTTTTTCGGCCGTTTCTTTTTTTTTTTTTTTTTTTTTTTTTTTTTTTTTTAGCACACTGCAACAAAGCGCGATGATCTCAGCGCAAACGTGGCAAATCCTTGTCCCCGATCGTGGTTTGTTGCAGAATCAAAAGTCCATGTACACTGAAATGGCACCAAATGCCTGGGAATGCTTGCAATTGGCTTCAATTTTTGAATTTTTTTCCCGGGGGAGGGTAATGTTTGTCCCCGATCGTAGCATCTTCTTGGTTTTTTGCAGAATCAAAAAGTCTTTCATTGTAGTTACCGTACACTGAAATGGCACCGAATGCCCGGAAATGCTTGCAATTGGCTTTAATTTTTGAAATTTTTTCCCGGGGGAGGACCCCCGGACCCCCCTTCCATGGCCGCCCCACTTCCAAAGTCGTTCCGACGCGCCTGTAGTAAACCTGTACTTCATCACCTATGCTTATGTTATTCATTTCGAAAGAAAAATAATGATATTCACTTTAGTCGATCTTCCTTCCACTTCAGTTCTAGTGGCCATGATTTAGCAGCAGCGGTCAGGTATGGATGATGACGGACGTAGTTATGATGGTGACGAGTCATATGAAATGGTTGAAAATGTGTCAGAGTCCCGTTGGATGAAAGTGAACCAGAAAATTTGCCGAAATGGTTAGGAGCTTGAATATCGCGTACAGGATTATTTGAGCTTACCTCAGAGCCAATGCAAACCAGGACAAGACTGACTCAACGAAAAAAAAACATTTTAAGAAGGTTTTGCATATCAGCCCTGCCGCTAGAGTTACGGAGTTCCCTCAATAGTTTCCGACTATCTTTACTGGAAAGTTGTTTTGTGAAGTGTGCCACCTTGTAGTGATGCCAAAAAGAGCATGAAGTCATAATGCTTCGGAACGACATCGCCGCAGCGAGCAGCAGAAGGAGAAGGCTAAGATCCATCAATCGACTTGATCCGTCTCATTGAAGCAGTACCAGGATAGGGATAGTGAGCAGATAGACGACACAACGTCTGGATAGTGTTCAACGCCGCGCACTGCGGATCATTGGCCCTGATGCAATTCTCCCCAGTCTGGCTGCCAGACTGTTGCTGCTCTCTCCGGTCTCGTCCATGTACAAATTGCATTTCATCACTGGTCCTCCTCAGCTACTTGCTGTATTGCCACCGCGTCGTGTTTCTCCAGCCACAACAGAACCAGGAACGAGCACAATAATGCCACTAGCCACGCCTTTCAATTGTCAGACACGCTCCCTGTCTCAGCTCCATTCGTCGTGAAGCGGTCGTTCCCGTACTGCTGTATTGGCGCATGGAACTCCCTTCCTGACAGGCTGCTGTCGCAGCGCCCACACAAAACACGTTTTCACTGTCATTCAAGACTAAGATCTACCCACACCTGAGAGACAGCAACTGGTGCTGGGCAACAGATTCCGTGTAATTTTCGAGCTCGTCCCTTGTCAGACCCGCTAACCCGCGTACCCGGCCTTGCTCAGACTGTCAGAGTGCTCAGCTGTGTGTTGCATACATGTACAGTACATGTATGCTGCTTTTCGAGCGGACTCTGAAGTACCAGCCATGGCATATTGCATAATGATGTAATGTTATGTTAACCCTTTATGGGTCTCACATAAGCGTAAGGGTCGTATGTGACCCTTACGGTAAAATCGCATTTTCTGTGAGTTTTGTTGCTAGGAGACAACTAAAATGGTGCTCCACGCGTAGCTGAGGTTCAAGGCTTTCCAACGGTGTAAAAACAACCATACTTACCATACAAATTTTTGCAGTATCGATCGACTGAAGTCTGGTGAAATTGGAAAAGACGACCATCCGCCATACGCGCATTTCGAGAATGGGAGTGCGTCTCGTAAGGCCGTGTCAGAAAAGCTTTCTGAGGACACTGAGTGAACCAGTCTAGGCTGGATGTCCCTGGAGGATTTCCAGTGTAATGTGGTGAGAAATAAAGCTGCGTTGAGGGCTCCTAGCTCAAATAAATCGTCCCCGAATGAAGAAATCAAATTTACCAACCAGCGAGGAAGCACAGCAACATCAACTCTTACAAGGACTTGTCAGGTGCGATCAGCTGATTCGCCTGGCCGTGAGAATCACGGCATGCGTGACATCGCACCTGAGTACTCAGCTGAGCTAGAGTGAATCTGCCGCGGGCGGCGCTGAGGTGAACGAACCAAAATTGTGATATTGTGGAACTGTTGCTGCTGGTGCATCGCCGATGGCGAGGTATTGGAGTTCAAGGACGGAATTAGGAGCATATATTCTTCACCAAGACGTAGCGCTTACCTGATTGTTTATCATAGGACTTCAGCTCCATCACGAACTTGGTATGCACTTCGTGCTGTGATTTTTGTGTTTTTTTGTTCGCAATTGTATTTTCTCTCAACTTGAAGGGCTACCACGGGTCATACCCTTACCTGGACATAGTCATATTTGTGTTTTCTGGACTCGTCCAGGCATACATATTTTGAAAATATATAGTTTACCCATACCTACAACTTACAGAACTTGAGTTATGGCTGGTTGTTTGTACGCGTGTTTGCGTGACCACCCCTCACATACATTGAGTAAGACCCACAAAGGGTTAACAAGTTGAGAAGAATGAGCGCGTGCCGTTATCACCTGACCTTGTTATCACTTTTGTCATTTTTGTCACTTAGGGTATGCCACGTTTCTATGCAGAATGAGCGCATTTGCGTCAATTTAGCCCTATAAAGATCAGTATATTCTTATTATTCTTTCATTCAACATCATTATGCCTCCACTGATGAGCTCAGGAGGAGCGAAACAGCTGTCTGGAGGGTCATTGTCAATATCAATCTATATACTGGAATTGTCCTCGCTGTGGTGATGGTGATGTGAGTGCAGAGTTTTGATCGGCCAAGAGCGCAATGTGGTGGTGTGGTGCACTGGGTTATGTTAACACACTGTATTCAATTCATTGGTATGGACATGGGGGGAGGAGTCGTGTCGGAAGCAGGATTTTGCCGAATTACAAGTTGAAACTGTGTCTGTCAGCGTGTGTTATGTCTGTGTGTTGTGTCTGTGTTTGGGGCGGGGGTTGCATGATCTCCCGTGGTCGGACACTGATTACTTGGTAGCGTTTCCCGAGGTATGTAAAGTAAAAATTGAAGTATCTCTTGAGGTAAGATGTTGACAACATTGGGATGTGTGGCCGAGTGGTCAAGTTCGTGATTCAAAGGATTGGTAATGGAAGAGTGCAGGTGAGTTCGAGTCTGGCTACGTGTAACTTTTTTCTTCACCTGGCACAACATCTACAGCACTCTCATGTACATGTACATTGCAGTGACACGTTACATGGTGATCATAGTCATAGAATGTACAAAATGATTCATAATGACATCACTATGACGTCAGGGTGGAGGAAATGATGCCACTAGACTGACTCACTACAGGAGTGCAATGCCTATGTAGAACTGCACTGAAATGATGACCAATGGGGACTTTGCATGGAGTGTTGTGATGTCACGTGATGTCACGTGATGTGTGTTCCTGGAGTTCTGCTTCTTAGTCCATTTTGGTATTTCTATGTTTACAGCCTTTCATGCATGTCAAGTGAAATAACGCAGCAGAAACGTTAATAGGAATGTGACAGCCATTACACAAACATGCCTACAGCAAAACCATCTGCAAGAAGGCACAATAAGAACTCGAAGGAGAAATACAGAGCACTGGTCTTCTTTTTGAATTTTTCACGAGATTTTTGTACATAGATTCTCTAAAGAAGCTGAGTCGATCCCCACCCACCATCCTATCGATAGTCTTATTTTATAGTCGTTTCTGGAAAATGGTGACAACTTCACACCTATGCAAGCCATGAAATGCAGAACATGTTCATCGCATGTATGTACATGACAGATTTGCACCTATCAGAAACGTCTGCTCTTCTGTTATCACATGCAAACACAAACACAAACACACACACACACACACACACACACACACACACAGACTCAGACTCAGACATGCCCATCGCTGAAGCGATACTAGTGAACAACTTTGTCAGACATACAACTTGTGCTGGGATTACACCAGTCAACAGCTTGCAAGGCTGATGAACTAAGTTCACCACGCACGCACACGCACACACACATAAGCGCACGCACGCACACACACACACACACGCACACACGCACACACACATACGCGTACGCACACACACACAGTGAATATTTATGCATACTGGAACATCAGTGAAAACTTTAAAGGAATTGTTCTCGCTAAAGAAGGGAATTGTGTGTATTCCGCAAGAATTGCTCAAGCATCACCGAAGTTGCTACAACCTCTTCTTCACAAGCTTTTAAAAATAGCAGTTCAAAAATGTCCCAGAAGTAGAGTGTTCAGTTTAGCTGATTAAAAGTTTGAATGAAGATCTTAGAACAGAGCTGGATCCAACATTGAAAGA